GACGATAACTCCGGCGATAACCCGGAGAAGGAGCGACGCAAATAGACACCCCTCGTATTCGTGAAAAAGTGCATCCTTGACGCGTCCCCGGACAACTCGTCAAGGTGCATCTGCCGCGCAGGTGCATCGAAGAGACACCTCCAATGACGACCTGTCGGGGCTAAATCTTAAGGATAATTAACATCTAATTTCGTTCCACATATTTCTTTTCCCCGCTAAGCAATTCTCGTGCCCCGGCAAAATCGTTCGCGATGATTAACGCTAATTGCGCGCCGTTATCTCCGTACTTTTAAGCGATTAACACGCAAAGTTGCCCGGCTAAAAATAATCCCGAAGTGAACCTAAATTAGTGACACGTATCGACCGCCCTATTCCTCGTAGAGGTGCATCGACCTGGATTTCCCGCGAAATGCAGTAAATTCAGGGGAATAGGATGCACTTCCGATGCACCTGCAGATGCAAGGAAGAGGCCCGGATTCGACGGTCAAGAGTCAATGTCAATGCATTTACGTAATCCCGCGAGTGCATGCGATGCAATACGGTGCAATTCGCTCGATTTGCGTATATCCGTTTCCCCTCGACATCGCGTTAATCCGAGGGGATAAAAAAATCGCGTGACGCCTTTTCTCAAATAGATTTTCACGGGGAATTCAGGTGATACGCAGATCGGATTGGAATAAAAAATCTGGCAGGTCTTATTTTCCTTTCCGACGTGGAATCCGTATTTCATGAAGGAAGATAAAAGATACACGAATGGAACCATCGGAACCGACTTCCCACGCTTTGATAACAACAATTCGAGATCTGACCAAATGGCGGGATTTTCCATCCGCACCCTGAGAAAAGCAAAAGAACAAAAAAAAAAAGAAAAGAATTCGTTCCACCAAAGTAACACTTCCACAATTCAACGAATAATTATTTCACTCAAATGAACTCAAAATAAATTGTCATCGTTTTGAAGAAACGTTGCATCCAATTTATTCGAGTTTATTAGCAAATGTAATTCCTCCCTCTGTAAGTTGATATATCCAGCGATAGGGAGTGAGCAATTTTTTAAACTCGAATACGTAATGGAATAACATAAAGACTCTCCAGAAACTCTACAACCGCTCTGAAGAATGCAAACGGATCTGAACATATTAAAAGGTAAACCTTTCTCATATTCCACGTCATTTTTTAGCCGATCCTTGTTTCCGATAATTAGGTTCAAAGTGGACCAGTCACCGGGACCTTTATTTCAACCCTTTGTCCATGCAATGGCCATGAAAAGTCGACTCGGAATCTACGCAGCCCAGCAAAGGGTTAAGCCAAGAAAAGGGGTTGTCGAAGGGCGGCACGGCGCGCAGAAAGTGGAGGCTCGCATTCAGTGAATGGATCCCCGTCCATTGATTTTTTCCCTCTTCCGGCCATTCTGAAACGCGACCACGGGCTAAGGTCGGGACAAATTCCCGGCCTGACTGTACCAGGGAGGATAAAGAGAAAAGAACCAACAGGGCGGGTGCAATGAAATGTGGCTGCGTAGGTTGCCCGAAACGATAAGAGCCAGATGTGGGCTGGATCGAGTAAGATTGCACTCGAGTGTATCGATACACACACACACACTACATTCTCGGCGTCCTCAAAAAAAAAAAAGAGAAATATATGAATTTTCATATTTCCTCCTTTTAAATTGTTTCACTCGAGTGTATCGATACACTCACACACTACATTCTCGACGTCCTAAAAAAAAATGAGAAATATATGAATTTCCATATTTCCTCCTTTTAAATCGTTTCACTCGAGTGTATCGATACACTCACACACTATATTCTCGACGTCCACAAAAAAAAAAAAGGAAAGAGAAATATTTGAATTTTCATATTTCCTCCTTTTAAATCGTTTCCCTCGAGTGTATCGATACACTCATACACTATATTCTCCACGTTCACAAAAAAAAAAAAAACAGAAAAGAGAAATATATGAATTTTCATATTTCCTCCTTTCAAATCATTTCACTTAAGTGTATCGACACACTCATACATGCCAAACGGGTCGAGACTACATTCTCGACGTCCTGTGAAAAAAATGAGAAATTTATAAATTTTCCTATTCCCTCCTTTTAAATCGTTTCACTCGAGTGTATCGATACACTCATACACACGAAACGCATCGAGCTACATTCCCATCGTCCTCTAAAAATAAAAATATATAAATGTTCATGCTTCCCCGAGTTAAATATAATTTCTATATATTTCCGTTCACGGAGCCGACGATCGGCTTGCAATTCCTCCCCAGTGAAACTAAATTAAAAAGCTCTGAAAATGAAAGAAAGAAAATAAAACATTTTTTATATTTTTATACCTTCATATTTTCTTCTCCATGTATAATTTTAATATTTCTCTTAAGGAGCCGACGATCGACTGGTATAATTCCTCCTCGACGTATCAAACCGTACGTGTCGATCGGCCTCTTTTCAATTTCACTCGCGACTTCGACGACGGCGATTTCAATATCTGCCGAAGAATTCGTCTCCGATAGGAGCGATAAGTGTGCGACGCGAGAAAAGAACGCTCGCACGGCTCGACTTATTTTTTTTTTTTCTTTCTCCCGCCTCCTCTCTCTCCTTTTTACCACGGGGATGCCACCTATTCTCGCCGATGCATTTTTTTCCCGCTAATAACTCAGACGGTGACACACGCTCGCGGCGCGAGCTCGCGCGAGCGGAAATTTCCACGCGCGGTAACCAATGGCGTAACCACTCGCGATTCGACGAGGCCGAAAAATATCTGGGATTTTCGCGAAACGCGAGATCCCCAGGAAATGAAGGAAAACTGGAGAAAGTCGTAATGCCGCTGCTCTCTATCGCTGTTATTGGGATATTCGAGGAAAATCGATGACCGATATAATGCCTAGTACGGCGTGATTGAGTTATCAATTTCAGTACGTGATAACGGAGGTCCTAAGGAAGAACGCGACGCTCGTGAAATTTCAGTTTTCAAGGAGGGAAATTTTTTCTTATTTATCCTATACTAGAACCAAGATTACATTCTTGTTAAAAAAAAAAAATATATAATGACCCTTTCATATCACCTTAAGGTGATGTGAAAGTGGCGTCGAAGAGGTTTTGTTTATAAAACTTTTCCCCCAACTCGATTTACCGAATAACTTGAAACTCTACAACGGGAATAGGGAGACTATAAGGAAGGTTCTGAGACTCATGAAATTTCAATTCTTTTCAAATTTCCTTATAGGTATTTTAAAAATAGTATATAAAAAAAATAAAATTTCGCGAGTCTCAGGACCTACCTTAGGGTTCAGGTTTTAAAGTACCAAACTATTTCAGACGCCCAGTTCGTATAAAAGTTTTATGAACGATTGAGCTTCGGATGCCACTTTTACATCCCCTTAAAGGAAAATTCGATTTCGCCGAATGTTAATGATTCCTGGATTTATTCCCTAGGGGGTTATCGTAAGTAGTTTATCTCCTCGATTAGCGGAAGTCGTAACGAGATCGATCGATTTGTCGGGATAACCGGACGTTAAATGGCGGTGATATATCGCGTATTGTGTGCGACATGCCGATTGCAATTGCAGTGCACGTACGTCCCGCAAAGGTCGGCGCAATTCGAGATGTCGAAAACGTATCAAAGTCTGCCGCCGTAAAGAGACATTGCGATTAGTTGGTAATCCTGTCGTGAGGCTCGAGAATGGCCTGGAAATAGTTATGCCGCAAGTAGGAGGCGTGTATCATCCTACTCTTGAAATTTTCGATACATGATTCATCAACCGGCGACACTATTGCGCTACGTGGGTTCGAGTGCGATGACTGCAATACGTAGCCACGTAAGCTGATGTATTATGTATCGAGTCTGTACCGTGAAAGGTACAATAGCGGACATGAATGCCTCCCCTGCAGATACGACATCGCCTGTGCAGGATGGGAGGGCATTGATGTCTCCCAATGTACAATGTGGACATGAATGCCTCCCCTGCAGATACGACATCGCCTGTGCAGGATGGGAGGGCATTGATGTCTCCCAGTGTACAACGGTATGTGTATCGGCTCAAAGAAATCGCTACGACTTCGATTTTCAGGTGGCCGGACCGAGACCAAGTGTACCGAGACATGTACACTTGCACGAGTACATTGTCCCCACCTTCGCGAATGACTCGATTTGGTTAAAAATTAATTCCTAAAAATTAAAAAAGAAAACCGGTCCACCATGTACCCTAAAAACGTAAGACCTCGACGCGCCTTGAAAGCGAAACTAGCGTTAACGAGAATTATTAGATATTATAAATAATTTGTATCGATTCTCTCAAAAATTGCTCTCACGCGTTTGGCACTGGTCATTTCCGAATGATTATCAATTTGATTGATATTTATCACATTTGAAATAATAACCGCAGATTGTCTCGATCCTAACCTACCCCTTTTCATAACGTTCATTAATTCACTCCTTTTAATAACATCCATTAATTCTCCCCATTTCATACATGGGAATTTATACGTACTCCGCCGTTACGAGGTTCCCCTTCGCCGACTAAAATTCCACAAAAAATGAATTAACGCCAGCAGATCTCACCTCCATGTACGGCACTTTTCATTGACGCAGAAAGAGGGGAAAAAAAGAAGAAGAAGTATCATCGACATACACGCTCATTACCCCGAAGAGGTGCCACCGGTTGAGGAGGCGGACTCTTTCTAGGAACACAAGCCTTACGGAAAATTTTCCATATCGCCCGTCCCTCCTCGAGTGTCTACATTATCGGTGTATGAAAACGACAATAACTGCACTTACGTGTTCGACAATCGCTCCTCGGGTTTCATGAAGTATCCCTGACGATGCGTTCTCCTGAGGGCACCGGTTCTCTGTCGTCGCGATTCAAGGAAGCGTCCAACTCGGATGCAAATCGACCTTGTCGCACCTTTCCTGATATCGATAAGTCATAAAAGATGACATTAAGAAAAATCGTCCAAGATGAAAAAACTCCCAGTCACGAACAAAGGTACTCCCACGTAGTTTGAAACTCATTTATTGAACATGACATAAAAATCACGGATACATAATAATGATCAACCGAGGTCCATCGTAAGCTTTCCAAACTTTATGATATATATGTATATATACATATCGTTCGTTCTCACTATTTCTCCTCAAGTGTAATATCTCGTGTGAATCATCTTATCAAACGCTAACAGGTTACTTTTGTTATTTTTTGTTTCTTTATACATGTACGGTATATGCTAATACGCGTGGAATGTGTGCGCGCGCAGCCTCGAGACCTCAACTCGCGTCACGAAACTTTTCTCCCGAGACACCATATTGAAAATTCATTCCTTCGGCAGTTTCGTATAAAGTTAATCCGAGTTTCGCATTTTATTTCGCACCTTTACGCCGAGCCTAGTCCGGTAATCGGGCCGGAAAATTGTACGTAGGAGAATAAACGGGGAATAAAAAATAAGAAGAGGCGTAATCGAGTTAAGGCTCGAGACGACGCAAGGAACACGATGGCTCGGCGAAAAGAAAAGAAAAGAAGAAAAAAAAACAATAAAACTCGCGCTTAAACTCATGAACGTCCTCCCTACCTTAAGACACCTCCTTAACGTCCTCACCGCCCTTAATCTCACCGAGAACGTCCGTCGGTTTAAGCCTTAAGACTTTCGACAAGAAACAACCGAGCAATCATGATCAAATGGGTAAATGGTACGCGATGATCACCGTTAGCTATTTCTTTCATCTTCAGTCTTAATCGGGCCGACGCGAGTCGAATTATTTCATTCCTCGGCCGTTTCGAAAATAATCCCTCGGCGCAAACCGCTATTACATTTTCCACATCCCTTAAGAAATAGCCGAATGAGTAGCATTCGGGTAAAGCTGCGTCACTTCTCAAACTCCTCTCGAAAGTATTCGATTCTCGCCGAAAGAAACGATTTTTCAGGAATTATTCGGTCGGGCTGAAGAGCCTTGGGATATTTTTCGAAGGTTGATTTTGAGAATTTACGGAGAATTTATGGAAAATTTAAGGAAAATCTGCAGTGGCCTCGACAGACGCAGATTCTCCGCAGAAATGAACATATCAACTGGACTTGTAATTTAAGATTCAATAAACAAACCATTATAAATTTCAAGATTTGTCGCTAGATTCGTCCAGCCGACCCAATGGAAATAAAAATTCCCTACGGGTAGGTTTTCGAAAAAGCGAAGTCGCGTCCGAAAAATCCGATATTTTCAAAAGTTGACTGAGAATTTACGGAAAATTTAAGGAAAATCTGCAGTGGCCTCGACAGACGCAGATTCTCCGCAGAAATGAATCTATATCAACTGGACTTGTAATTTAAGATTCAATAAATAAATCACTATAAATTTCAAGATTTGTCGCTAAAATTGTGCAAGCCGACCCAGTGGAAAGCGAAATTCCCCACGGGTGGATTTTTCGGGAAAAGCGGAGTCGCGCCCGAAAAACGAATAACTCTCCTCGCCTCATATCCTAGCAAGTTTCCTGCCGACTCGCCGAAATGTCGGGCACCGCACAACAACGAAAGCCTACTGTCGCTCGTCGAAAAATAAATAACTATGTGAAAAAGTGTCGCGCCTCTCGACGCCCGAAAAGTCAACGACCCTCCTACCCCTCCAAGGGCCGACTATCGAGCCGGGATTTGCATTAGTGTGGGCTTTTTGGCAGTGATTATTTAATCGCCATGGCTAAGGAGAATGTACTCGGCCGAAAGAAATTTGAATTTTGAGCGCGCATCTATACATATAAAAAAAATAAAAAAAACACGTTGCAAAGGAGACAATTCGTACTGCGGGTCCTTCAACATACAATAAAGAAAACTTCCAAAACATAGTCCCATTTACTAACGATAAAACTATCGTCCCACGTACTCCCGAAAATTCAAAAGAGACGTGATAAATAAAATGCGCGAATGGTGACGCTTATCGTCCCTCCATTTTAATTTTTGTCCGACTTCATCTCGCGTCTGGATATTCTTTTTAATATCGAAGACAGAATTAATTCGTTACGGTGTACCTATCAAACAATCGCCTGGTACACCTCCACAGTCTTCTTTGCATCGCGTAAAAAGGCGAACGACCCGCAAGATGGCGGATCAGCCGCATCCTGAAACAGGTCCAGATCGAATCTCGGCCCTCGCTTCTCCTCAGCCATGCTCCAAAAATCATCTCAACCGTCCCGCAAAAGTAATCTCCAATCGCCGAACCCTCATAATATACTCGCAGTCGTAAGAAATATCGAGTCGAGTCGCCGAATAAATTATCAAATTTACAATCGTTCCGACGAGCCGCGGAATCGAAACTCGCCATCGAAATTCGGCGACGGCGTCTTCTCTCCCCGCCATCGACGCTCGATAAGATGTTCCTTCCCGATCGCGAGATTCCGCGACCGTCGACATCTTAATATAAATAGATCGTATCTCGCCAAACCCTAGATCTCTATAGTAACGCCGCCTAATCGGTACAAATCGTCCGACGAAGCTCGGGACGAACCTCCATCGTCCCTTATCAGGGGACCTTTATTCCGCCATCTTGGCACAACTCGAATACTAAAGAATGGTTAAAAAAAAAAGATATACAACGCGTCTCCAAATGCGTATATATTGAAATTTTTCACGCCACGTGACGATAATGGCGGAGGAAAAGAAATTGAAAGTGTCGATCTCGTAAGAGATACATTTCTCTGTTAATTTTCTTTTCCTTTTTTTTTCCTTCCTTTCTTAAGTTAGACGTTCCTCGGCCATTTTTCTTCGAGTTGTGCCAGGAGCTCGTCGATTATCGACCAGCCGATATCGTGAAATAATTTCCTTCTCCTCGACCTAAACAAACGGCCTGCCGCTCCGTCCCGAAACTCCTATCAAAGCACCACGATATATAACACCGAATTGTCAATTTTCTCTCATCGTTTTATACATATGTATATATATATTAAGCAGTCTTACGCGAAGCGGCAACTTTTGGAAATTATTCGACACATCTGACACATTTCCGGCACGACCTCCACCCCCCACCCCCTCCGTCCCACCGGAAAAGCTGTTAACGACGCCGGCCGTCGTCCGTCCAGGAAAATGCGAGACGTCTAGGCAATTTTCAAAATTTTCCGCGACCTCCCGGAACCCCGCGGGATCCCCACGGGATATCCGTGTCCTAGGTACAGTATGTGTCGAGTCGGTTCCCCCGAAAACAAAGAAAAGAAGTACCTAGAGTTACGAGACCTTCAAGCCCCGACAGAGATCCGTAACTTTTCCGAATCTTTTCACCCGATTTTCCCTGATTAACGTTGCCCACGTGCCGTATGGAGAGTAATCGAAGGCTCCGGGCGATTTTCCCAATCCTGGGCGCCTATTTCAAACAGTCCCTGTCTCGGTGGTGGAAGGGTTGACAAGATTTGGGGTATCACCGAAAACTCGGAAAATTCTCCCGTCGTGAAGAAAAATCTAAAACAGGCATCCACCATCGTGGGTCCCTTCAAAACCTTCCTAAGGAGCCAAAGTGAAAGCGATTGAAAATTCAAAATAATTGCCCACCTTGAATTTCAAATAATTTCATAAATTCTGCTCTACGAAGGGCTGTCTGACAGATATTCCCGAAATAGGCGCCCGGGTTAAATTTCGAAGAGTTTAAGATAACTTGTGAAATTCTGAAGGATTTCAAAGAAACCTCATCAATTCTGATATTACAAGGGACGTCGCCCGAAAATGTCTGAAATAGACATTCGGGTTAAATTTTGATGGATTTCAATTAAATCTCGTAAATTCTGATCCTCCAAGGGCCGTCGCTCGAAAATGTCTGAAATAGGCACCCAGGTGAAATTTCGAAGAATTTAAAACAACTGGTAAATTCCGATTTCACATGGGACGTCGCCCAAAAACATCCGAAGTAGGCACCCAGGTCCACGTGTCCCCCGCAACTTCCCCACCGCCCTTAAACTCTGTCCGCATTTGCACCGCTCGCTTCCCGTCTCACGCTCTCTCGTACTCTTTTCTTTCTTCCCCCCCCCTCCTGTACTTCGTTGCAAAATAATTCTACCTTATAGCTTACGGTATCACAGAGTTACACGCGGTATCGTTTAGTTGCTCCCAGTTCGCAAGTGTCAAAAGAAAAAAAAAAAAAACAAAAAGATAGAGAAAGAAAAATAGAAAACCGGAAAATCACTTTCCTCATTGCGAGCTCGAGTTGACAATTCCGCAACATTGGCGAACAAAAACCCACTGGATAAGCAATTCCTCGTCCGACCTTCATTTTTTTTCCCTTCAATTGATAACGAAAAAAAAAAAAAACCCCAAAAAGATACATATAAAAATATGAGAAATTCGCCAGACGTCATCGAAGAAGAGTCTAGTAAAGACTCCGCGCGAAGAAAAAAAAAAAAGAAAAGATACATAGTTCTACTTATTTTTCGGAGCGTCTCCTTCCCCCGATCCTGACACGGCATCGTAGAATAATCCCAGGACAACGATCAAGGGAAGAAAATTGTCAACGTCGATGTCAAAAATCGCCAAAAGCATCCGACGAGGCGTCTCCGTGGACGCCTCCGCTCGGAGAAAGACATTTACCCATCGACGGTGAAAAAGGTCCTTACAACTACTGTGATAGCAGTAACGATAATAATATTAATACAATATAATATAATAATAGTGCAAATAGTAACAATAGAAAAAGAAGAAGAAATCGTTCCTCCGGGGGACCACTACAGGGGCCCGACTATCGAGTCCATACAGATTATTCTCCCATAAGAATAGATTCCCCAGAAAAACTTGTCACCTTGTTGCTAAGTCGCGTCATCAGTTAACCTTTGAAAGTATAATAAGAAACTGTCGATGTCGCGTGCAAATGTTCATAGTATGGACTCGAGAATCGGACTCCAAATTACGGGAGCCATTGCTCCGAAATGACGCGCTTCTATAAAACCGCGAAGAGAAAAAGGAAAAAAAAAAAAATCAAAATAAAATGAAATGAAATAAAATCCAAATAAAATAAAAACATCCGCAATTAGGGGAATCTCTCAGAGAGATCCGCTCGTGTCAACGATGCAAAACGCAGCGGTTTCCGGCATTCAGGTCTCGGAGACACGTCCCCTTCCGTAACAAACGTAACGCGACACTAATTCTTCGTAGCCTGGAGCGCCGGCGCGAGGTTAAGCTAAATTAAGTCTTTTCTTAGGCTTTCGTTCATCATCGATCACTATATATGTATATACGTGTATATATATATACTCTATCTCTCGCGCTAAATATCTCCCTCTCCGCGGTAAACTCGCACATGCGACCATTCAAGGTAGTCGAGTCATAATAGTAAAGCAAATAATGGCGGCCCATCCTGGCCCACGACCGCCGAAATTACGTGTGATATGCCTATAAAATAAGGACCGACATTCGCTGTCGATCGGCTAGCTTAATCAATAAACAGCGATACGACGACCTCAATCTACATTCCATCTCTTTTCCCGGCTCGGCGTCGACGTTGCAGGCCGGACAATTCAAGGAGGAGCGGGTTCGTTACTTCCGATGGCAGGCAGCCAAAAGATTCCAGGACGTGATCGGTATTAATATCGTAGGCCCACGGAGCTTTCCCGAGCTACCCGAAGAAATAACTCCGGAGCCGCAATGTAGTGACAAAACGTGCCAATATTCCGCGCCATCGACGCCGAGCTCGCATCGGTAGGACGCTTCCCAAATCAACAGCGATCGCGATAGAGTGTTAGAAACGACAAGTCAAGTCATACCAGCGACAGAACGCGAAAGGAACTAGTCGTTAGAACGGACCTTAACGTGGATCCCTCCGATGTGGGATGACCGGGAAGATGGGACCTCCCTCGGGAGAGGAGTCCCCGTGAACTTGGGCCCGATCTCCGTGGAGTTTCCTCGGTAGATAGTTTCCAAGCTAGGTCACGACGGAGTCAAATCGGCGTTCGATGATTACGGACTCCTCTACGGGATCCTCGGTCAGCCCGACATCCTCGGGAAGTGTTGAACCTCGTCGAGATCGCGAGAAATCGTGATAATCGCCAGGACTCCGTGAGTCTTGACACCGGTAGGACGCCCCCAGCAGGCGTCGTTCTCCAGACCCCAGAAGTTGGAACGCATGAAAAAGGCCTCCACGACCCTGGATGTTCCGCTCAGCGAGGTGGACCAGATGGTCCCGGGTGGGGACCAGCCAGGGATCGAGGAGAAACCAAAGGAAACCGGGTCTGGAGCACGTACCGGGTCGAGGGAAAATCCGGCACCGCCGAAAGGGCACCATCGCCGCGTCGATCCGTACCTCTAGGTGTGGGGTGCAAAAAGAACCAGCTCGGAGCCAGTCCGAAGCTGGGGTCAGGAACCAATCCGGGGACCGGTCGTGGACCGATCCAGAGAGCATTTCCTTGGGGAGGTGACTCTGCTCGGTCCCGCTTGTTTCTGTTTCGTCGTGCCTCTTCACGGTTGTCCGATCTGGTCCCGATCCGGGGCTCGGTCCAGAGCGACTCTCCGGGTGGTGGTACGGCTTCGGGTCACGTGGACCTCGTCCCTTAGGACGCTTCGGATCCCAATGGACCGCTTCTCTCTCCCTTCCCCACGTGGGCTCGCGCCGAGACACGTGGACCGGTCAGGAACCGGTCCGGCGCGATCCTCCAGACGGCTCCCTAGGACTCCGCTCCTGCGAGCGGCGCAAAGGCTGGGGATCAGCAGGCATCCTGGCGGCGTTACCAGGTCGGCGGATCCGGGCACGAGTGGGCCACGACCTGTTTGGTGCTGGGGCCAGCACCGGTGGGGGCCGAGGTGCGACGGATCTCGATCGGTTTCGAACCGGACGGGGGCGGCCGGCCCAAAACCCCATGGTTGTTTCACGACAAGTTTCGCTGGTCCTCCGGGCTGTCCTCGGCCTTCTTCAGGGACCTCTTCAGCTTGTCTACCAGCCGGTTGTGGAACTTGTTCAAGGAGTTCGAGCTCCCGGTCTTCGGGGGCGAGGACCCGGTGCTCTTGCTCGGACTCTGGAGGGAGCTCTGGGAGGTACGGGAGGAGGTCCTCGAGAAGTGGCGCGATGTCAGGGGCACCGAACGGTGGGCCGGCGAGGTCAGGAAGTCCGAGCCAGGTGAGGTCGACAAGGACGGCCCCTCGGACTTGGAGCACTCCGACACCTGGAACATCGAAAAAGAAGGGGGCGACCTTCAGCGACTCGCGGTTCCAATCAGGGCCGCGTCTTATCATCGAGCCTAATCAGTGACCTCGTTCGAGGATACCCAAATCTCCACATCCCGGAAATAATTGCATCGGGGCTAAGTACCAACAAACTGACTCACAATCGTCCCAACAAATCTTACTCACTTCCCTACCAAATTTATACCCCAATTTATTTATTTATTTATTTTTTTCAATTTTCTTCCCGAACCTCAGCTCTAGTTACCTCCACGTTGGATGGGATTACAAATATTCTTCACGCCCCAGGAATTCAGGGTGTGAGCAAAATCTTCTCGGCAGTGGTTTCGCAAGGAGGGTGCAGACGTCCTTTCCCTTATTTCTTTTTTAATGTATCCGTGTCGGATCCTAATCTCATCCCGGTTGGAACATCCGGAAGTGTTCTCTCGCGGCCAACCGCCCCCGGAAGTGCGGTCCATCGATCTCTTCCCGCAGACTCGATCACCTCGAAATTTTTTCGACCTAGCCCAGAGAAAGCCACGACCGTCGCCTCGGGCTGACACTGACACGTTAATCGAACGGCATCGATCGATCGCTACCGGTATCGATCCCCGGCTCCGGAAGCTAGACGGCCCACTGTGCGACCTTATCACCTCGCTTCCCGTTATCAGAAATCGATGCGTCCTCGCACAAGCGTCCCATTTCCTTCCTCGATCGCCGAGATAAGTGCCGGGCAGCTTTTAGAAACCACAAGCCAGATAAAATGAGCCGACGTTAATAGCGACCCCGATAACGCCGCGGCATAATACCCGATAAAGTGGCGTAACGATAAACATTGACCTTGGTTAACAGCATTAAAAAAAAATTGAAAAAAAAAATGTAATAATAAATAAAATCTGTCACTCTAAGAACCGGGACTTTTTTCATCCGAGGGATCCACGTCCCAAAACCGATCCCCATTACCTTATCAGTCATCGGATTTAAAACTCCCGTGCGATAAAAAAAATAAAAAGGAATTTTATTAAATCAAGTTCCTTCGGTAGGATTTTTCCAAATACCTGGAACCGTTATTATCGTCGTTGGGGTACCCAAAATTTATTGGGGAATATGAAATTTTGGCGACTTCGTCTTTTTTTTTTCTCCGCGGACTTTATCGAATATCTTGATAAGGACTATCGGAGAAGTACGTTTCAGCTAAGAACCCCCCTGACGTTAGGTAGCTCTGTCGCCTCGCGCTTTCGAGTAACTTTAACGAGCACGGGCGTTGATATCACCGATACGGCCCGACAATCAGGTTGCGGTTACGCACTTCGTTCCATGTAATAGGAGGCTGGCTGCGCGTCCACTAAAAATAGCGACACTTATCTTGCGCGTATTTATAGGCGGCGCAGTGCGCGGCCAGCTTCGGACGTGTCGTAGAAAATGCGAAATCGCGCACTCGAGATATGACCGCCTTCCCCATAAATCCAGTACCGTCGATATACCCGATTTAGTTGCGCCCGCCATTTTGTAATCACCGAAGAACATCAAAAGACCCATCTAAACCCTCGAAAGTACTCGTCAAGAGGTACAACTTCAAATCGTTCCTGAATTCTAACCGTGAAATTCCGTTCCTGAATTCTAACCGTGAAATTCCGTTTCTGAATTATAACCGTGAAATTTTATTTCTGAATTCCATCCGCGAAATCGCGTTTCTGAATTTCAATCATGAAATTTCGTTCCTGAATTCCGACCGCGAGATTTTATTTCTGAATTCTAACCGCGAGATTTTATTTCTGAATTCCAACCGCGAGATATTATTTCTGAATTCCAACCGCGTGACTTCGTACCTCAATTCTGATCGCGAAATTTCGCTGCTGAATTCCAACCGCAAAATTTCGTTCCTGAATTCAAACCGCGAAATTTTCCGTCCGTGAATCTCAACCGCGAATTCCCGCACCTCGATCCCGACCACGAGATATTATTCCTGAACTCCAACCGCGAAATAGCGTTTCTGAATTTCAATCATGAAATATCGTACCAGAATCCCGACCGCGAGTTATTATTTCCGCGTCCCAACCGCGAAATTTCGCTCCTCAATTCCTGACCGGGTAATTTCCTTTCCGAATCCCAGCGGTGGTCATTCAGGAGGCGCGAGGCAAGGGGGAGATCGGATCTTCGCCAGTGCAACGCATCTCGTTCCTTTTCGGCAATCGGGGTGGAGGGGGAGAGCACGTGCTCGTGTTGTCGTCGTAATGGAGTCTGGTTACGCCGTTTAGACCGGCACGTGTGTAAGTGACACACGTGTCCCTAGTTTGCATGTAGCGCTGCAGGCAAGGCCGGGCAAGCCCGACCGGCCGGATCAGTGGTTCTCACTCTCGCGAGTACTCCCAGCCACGTGGAACGGTGAGGTTAAGATGACATGAAAGAGAGTCAGCCTATACATATCCGAGAAGTCAAACCGTCGGTGAAAGTATTCTCCGAATCGGGTGTACCGATTCGTATCAAATGATAGCCACGTTAACATGTAGACCCTAAGATGACCAAAAGATGAATTTTAATTAATCTACCTAGATCGAATCTCTCGGCGTCTTTCATATCATAATCAACGATCTTAAAAAAAAAAAAAGTGACATCAAAAGTGCCCCACCGAAGGTAATTAAAAGTCAGCCTAAAAGGACCACCTCAATCTCCCGTGTTTATTTTTTCATAAAAATCTTCAGTATCCACATTAAAAAGAAGAAAAAAAAGGAAACCCTGCTTATCAATTTCCTTGGTCGCAACATTAATCACCGTTTTGCATCTTATGTTTAACCCGTGAATTTCTCGCGACCTCGAGCAGTTCGATAGTATCGAAAGGCCACGGCTCTCGATCGAAATCTTCCATCCGATCGGCCAGGTCGATACGCAGTGGGGTAATGCACGCGGCAACGCGGGTGTAAAAAAAGAAACCGGAAAAAAAAAAGAGAGAAAAGGAAAACGACCAAGTTTTTATCACCGCTCGCGTGCACTTTGCATTCCGAACCCTGTTAATTAGCGGCGGTGGGCGCCGTGGCGGCGTGCAATTACGCAATTGCGGTGCAGGTAGAACGCACCTTCGCGTAATTGACCACTGAGCGGGAGGGAGAGAGAGAGAAGCCTAGCAAGGTTCGAAACAGTATTAGTAACCGTGTCCAAGTTTCGGCAAAATTGAGGGGAGAAACCCTCTTCACCCTGAGAAGAAAAGAAAAAAAGTCACCGAACCAGAGAAGTACTTACAACGAAAAAAAAAAAAATTAGAACCATTTTCTTAATTCAAAGAATAATTATCCGACTCAAAGTAGACTGGAATAAATCTAACGCAACGTTTCCTCGGAATCATATCAGTGAAAGAATTATTCTCGTCGAATGAATGAATTTTTAATTTTGTGCTAATTAAATATCACATTGGTTCGATGAATCCATATTAAGTCGGTGTAACAACCACGACGCTCGGTAATAGACATTTAGTATCAATAGAGGACTAATATCGGTTGATACGAAGAGAGGAAATTGAAGGGCACCTCTTCAAGGTGGGAATAAAAACGGTAGAGAGAGAGTAATTACACGCGTGGAGACGTGTATTCGACCGTCCAATTACCGAGCAATAGTCGGGTTACGGTCAACGAAGCCCGACACCCTCCCACGCGGGGGATGAACGGGGGGGAACCGAGAGTGATGAAAAGTGGAACTCCAGAATTACCGGAGCCGGACTCGCCCACCTCGTTGGCTCTCCCCTATCTCCGGGGCGCGATTGGTCAAATGAAATTCCCCAGGGACGTTTCTAATTATAATTGCGCAAGATTCAGCCGGTTCAATCGCGGCGGCTCCGTAATCGACGAGTTATCCGGATACCCAAGGTCCGTGGGAAATTTTCCCGCGGTTTTTCCTCGTTAAGGGAGAAGAGAAATAAAAACAAACAAAAATAGACCACATTTCGCGGCGCGACTCCCGATGCGCGCGGCCTGTTAATTAATCGATTAACGCCGCGCTGGAGAAACATGGGCCTTTTTTATTTATTTATTTATTTTTTTTTATTATCGAGAGCGAGCCGGATCTACCTTGAAATCCCGAAACCTGGCAGAGTGTCGCGCCAAGTGCACCGTACACGTGCATATACTTTCTTTGGCCGATTTCGCAGTTTATTAATAATAAAAATAAAAAGAAAGAAAACAAAGAATTGAACGAAATCTCGCGAGGTCGATCTAACCTGTAACGGGTCGAAGGAATTTTCCTAGTTTCGAGTATATTTTTTCCGATTTTTAGCCCGCAAAAGGTGTGAGAAAAAGAAACGCCAGTCGGCGGAATTATTTACGTAAGTACAGGCAATGTAAACAATGGCTTTCACGCCGTTGGGCGGCGAATGCGCTCAGAGACTCATACGCGGAAACAGATGGCGAGTTTACAAGCTTCTAGAAAGGTCTTCCCCTTGCCTTTCTACGGCGACACGAATCGATCGGCCGACGCCATTTCCTCCGGAATTTCGTCATTCCCTAGGAACTAACGGTACCGGGCTAATTGGTACGGAAACCCAGACAGCATAAAATATTCCTAGCATATTGAAACTCAGGTGGAAAAAAATATTCCTCATCCATATCCGACATTGGAATGGTATTTTAAGTACAATATTAAATTACGTACATATGACAATGTATCCCAGATATAGTCTAAATATTAAATGTTTTAAATACTATTATCTTCATTTTGAATGCACATACGTGCATTAGTACTTCAAATTTATATTCCCTGGGTAAGGGGTTTATTTTTTGTAAAAGTAGATGCTTATGTTTCGAGGTATCAATATTTTATCGGACCAAATGTTGACATATAAAACGAAAATATAAAACTACACGGTCCAAAACTCGCGATAATCGGAATAAAAGGAGACTATATTCACATCACTACGATACAATTAATTTTCAACCTCACTCTTAACATTTAGAACCCTCTCCGGTCTAGCATTTCAAGCCAAGAGAATAATTCATATAACACGAAATCTACAAGTCTTAACCTTCCTGTATTAACGAATTAACAATTGATACACACTCGATGTAAACATCCACGTAACAAGATCCTCGGTTACAAAGGAGCGATACAAGAAGGTAATTAAATTAAATCTCGCCGGAAGGATGGAGTTGGACGGAATGAGATTTAAAAAGTAACGGCCATCGATCCACGGTCACGTGGCTTTATGCAGGGTTATAAACACCCGACGTAAGTCTTTGATTTTCGCGATTCCAAGTTCGAGGAGTCGGGATATTCCGGGTAGGATAAACACCGGGATTAGAAATTGGGTCCGGGTGGACATGGAAACCCTCGGCCACGCGATCGGTCGGCGGTTGACCTTACGAAAGCGCTTTCGGTTTGCGCAATCCGTCGCGACGTCGCGCGCCGGTACGGCGTCTGCGCAGTCGGCGGCGCATTGGCGGCGCCTCGATCGATAGACGGGGGACGGACCGCGAAGGGGTCCCTCAGGGCCCGAGGCCCGGCGCCTCTGCGTGTCTCGCTTACCTTCCTGCTGCGGCAGGCCTGCGGGTTCGAGCACTCGGAGGAGCGTCGGCTGCGGTTCGTCTTGTAGATCTCCCACTCGTTCTTCACAACCGGCATCATGAACGCCATCTCGGCCGGGTCTTCTGGAAAGTTCGGCGGCGGTGCGCGATAGGTCGGGCGCCGGCCAATGGGGGTTCGGGCAGCCGGTCCAACGGAAAGCGCGGCTAACCTCGCTCGCGCACTCGGGTGGCTCTGCCGGATCCTAACCTCGGCGCTCTCGGGCCGCGCGTTCCTCGGGACTCGAGTGCCGCTCGTGGCTCGGTGAGTAGACTCGACGACGACGCCGTGCCTCGGCCGTTAGAGGTTCGTCCTGCCGAGGTGTCGCTGTCGAATCGAAAACTGCATTCGTCGATCGGGCCGCGGTAAGTATTGCCTGTCGCGTGGGCTGCGCGCGTCGGGGATTGGGCTTGCTTCTCGGTCAAGCTCTCCGGAGGTCCGCTCGCTGCGAGTCGCCGCTTCGGAATGAGCACGCCGGGCCTTGCGCGCGGCAAGAGTACGCGCGCGGGTGGGGCGGCGCGCGCACCCATTGGCCGACGGCGAGGCGGGACTGCGACGTCACTCCGAGCCATTGATTTTCCAATGTTGATACACAGCCCGGCGTGACGTCGCGACGCGCTTCCTGCGCGGTCGCACGTACTTACGTACGCGGGCCCTCGACCTAGCTTGGACCTAACCTTGCACGCTGCAGGTGGCGTCTAATCTGCGTCTACCTGGACTTTATCGGGGAAATATTACCCGAAGACCCTTCACGCCTGCATTTCCCTGCCAGGATCAGGTGGGGGCGCAAGGATCACTCCGTCGCTTTTGGAACTGCGCGACCCTCGTATATATTCCACCCTTAGGAACGAATATATACGAGGCATGGAATTTAATAAGGGACTTTCGCTTCTCCTTCTATTCCACCTTACTAAACCGGTGGAATAACAGGGGATGGAGTAAGACGTAATATCCTGAGCACGCCGTTCATTCAGGACGAATGAACGGATGTGTCGGGAATGTAGATTCTCAAAATGGCGGTTACCGACTGAGGGTTTCACCGCTGGTCGGTACGTTTGCTGCTGCGGGTATTGCAGGGGCAGGGAATATGGTTTGTAGGTTTCTGCGGTATCTAATATTACAACCTCGGGATTCCATCTAATGGTACGGTAGAGGGAATGTGTTTTATTCCCATGACTCGTGTTGATAATACGAGGAAGAAGTATTCCACGAAATTACAGGGGTCGCAGAAATTCACTTTATCATCGTCTAGTCAATCTTTCAAGTCGAATGGTAAATGATTTCCTGGCAATGACTACTCGAGTCGTCCAGTTTCCCCTTATTGCAGTTTGGCACTTCTGCGTCTATTACACCGTATAAATGGGGATTGATTGGAACAGGAGGAATGAACGTGATTTTTAATCCGAGTACTCTAAACGTCGTTCAGTGAGGTAGTAGCGTGATTGAAAATAATTATTTCCCTCGTTGAGAGAAATATATTTAGGAACAATACTTTATCGTTATCGATTACTGGATTTAGTCATCAAGAGTTACAGTGCCACCCATGTAGATGGAGCCACACGAATGATTTGCTCATTAAAATGTTTTAAACTAATTATAAAAATGTATAATGATATTTAATGTATCAGCAATAATCTTCCGTGAGAGCTATTGCTTTGCTCGTAGTGTATAACAAAAAACGGCGATAAAAAATAATTAATGTAACGTCCAATATTTTCGGCCTGGCGGCAAATTTGAATAAAAGGTAAACGCGGGAATTACGTTCCTTTATTGGTCTCTAAGTCGAATTTAGTTTATTGATCATAATTGAAAATCGGGATATTTTCGGTAATCCGCCGGAAGTGGCGATCATTAAATGACCGATTTGGCGTTTACATTTTTAGGAGAACGAGCGGTGGCTTCATTACGAGGCATTTGGGGTAACAATCCTGAAGACGAAGTCCCTGAAGAGCAGACGAGGAAATGAAATGATAATGATATCCCGCGACATCGTAATGCCGGCCCTGATTTGTTTGCCGAGAGTCGTTCAAAGGTCTTGGAAAAAAAAAAAAGAATAAAATAGGAAAAGAAAAACAGCCCCCTGTTCGTGAATGGTCTCAAAATCCAATCACATTCGAGGATCAGAAATACGTCCCATTGCATCCAAATAAAATATTTGACGCCGTGGGGGGAGAGAAAAAAAAACGAAACATATAATAACGAGCACCTCATTATACGCCGCGAAACTCCTCGCTATTCCTTTCTCTTAATTAATTCGGCATAAACAATGATAATATACGAGTTAGCAGGGTCGCACGGTTTCGAGGGAAAATACAAAAGAGGTGACATTCTAAATAATTTAATTTCGGGAAATCGCAATAGTTTTAGAAAGAGATTCGGTGATTTAAATTTGATGCCGTAAGGCGGGAACAATCCTTTACGAAACATTGTTCCTGGTGAAATGAAATGAAAAATCTTTTGTGTACCCAGTGATCCTAAATCCTCGAGGAAATCCCTTCGACCGGAAATGCTCGACGTTTGTTTACTTTTTTTCTTTCTTCTCTTTCTCCTTTCATTAAGAAGGAGGTCTCAAGATTTTCCAGAGTAACGATAATATTCCTCCTTAATTTCATCGCGCATTGCGCTCTTTCGAAGGTTTTTAGTAATACAATATATCATTAGGAACCCACGCGTTGCAGACCACTCCAATTTACGACATCGAAAGGGTTGCATTCGAAGGAGCCTAACGATGTGCACTCTTATAGGCACATTACGGGAAATAAATATAAATTGTACATAAATAGTACACCGAAGCTCTCGGTGCCCGGGGCTTAATGAACTCATGGCTACCCGAAGTGATACAGTTCATTACCTTAATCGAATTTCCTTTTCATCGAACCTCCTGGGCCGGAAAATGCACGCGCTCTCTGTCGTCGGAAAAAGCGCGGATTATTAAGGAATTAATGATCTCCTGATAACTCGCTTAAGTCGTTACTGAAAATAATTTCTAGTCCCTAATTGGTGCCTATTCTCGGCTTGGATTAATTCACTCGCGGATATAATTCCAGGGAAAAGGGCATTGTACGCGTTTTAATCCTCACTTTTGGCAGGCGATACGTTTTTCACTGTCGGGGGTGTTACGCAGATTTACTCGAAGGATAAAAATGTCCGTCGAAAAAGTGCGGGATCCAGGAACTCCATTTGCTCGCACGCAGCTTCCTTCATAATCCGGCTCGGCCCCGAGGGTGAGGGGTATATTTTATAATCTCCTTTTCAAATCTCTTTTTTTTTTCCCCGAGAATTCACACTTGTGTTACCGGGAAAATGAATTCCGCGGTTGGGAAATGCCGGGCGACACACACAGTCCGCGAGTGAGTCATTCGGAAATTCACTTGTCGCTGAATGGTGGACGTGAAAGGGCATTTCAATAGTAAAATGCGACATTTGGAGGTATTAACACGGGAGACTGGCTTGAATTAACAGAGGTAAGGATTAGCAGGCGATTCAGGAAAACGTCACCATGGTCGTGACACCAAACTCACATTATTGCCATTGTTACAAGTCTTCATGGTTACCCTGCGACACGACATCCCTCGAAACCCCGTAAGTTAAAAAAAATCCCTAAATAATATATTAACTCCTAAAAACATTTACTACGTTCCACAATTTTCCTCGCATATTAATGTTTACCCATATTTACCCCAGATGCTGATCAACCTGTGATCTTAATTACCGAATTTCTTTATTGCGGGTGCAGTCATGAATTATCCCGAATTAAAATTCAAGGTAAGACAGGGCGGTACAATTTCCGTATAATCCTTAAATAATTAAAAATTATTCTCGCATATTAATGTTTACCCATATTTACCCCAGATGCTGATCAACCTGTGATCTTAATTACCGAATTTCTTTATTGCGGGTGCAGTCATGAATTATCCCGAATTAAAATTCAAGGTAAGACGAGGCGGTACAATTTCCGTGTAATCCTTAATAATTAAGAAGTTTTATCGCATATTAATCCTTACCCATATTTATACCAGGTGCCGATCAACCCGTGATCTTAATTACCGAATTTGTCGATTATTGCGGGTGCAGTCATGGATTATTCAGTAATAAGAGTTGAAGGTAAGAGGAGTATCCTCGTAATCCTTGAATAATGAAGAATCTCTTAGTGTCCTCGGGGACCCTGACGGAGGCTTCCTCCGCGCTCGGAAAATCATCGCCGAGGGACAAAAGACTGACGGAAGCGTCGGAAGGAAGAGCCGCGAATCGTCAATCTCGTCGGACGCGACGCTCGTCGTCGGGACGTATGGTAAGCGAGGCTCCAGCGGAAATCCGTAAAACCAGGGGGCAAATCACAAGCGAGGCAAATTCGCCGAACAAATGGGCGACTCGGGGTGGCAAGACGCAGGGAGCAGGGGGTGCGATATGAATTTGAAAAGAGAGTCCTCGCGGTAACGCCGGCCGGGGAAAATCGCTTCAGGAAATTCTCCGAGAGGAGGGAAGAGCCCGTTATATGGGAGATTCCCGAGTCGGGAAGCGTTTATACCATTTATAGGAGGCTTTCCATTGGTCGTTAGGGGCCCGCGTTCACACCGGGGCGCCCCTGATCCGGCCTAACGACGTAACGACGTTACCTCGTTAAATAAATGTCGGAGGGGCCGAGGGGTGGCCTCGGCCATGCGGATCCCCGAAAGCCAACCCCCTAAAAAGTGTGCCAACGTTCGCGAACCAAAATGGCGGACCCGATAGGGAAAGGCTCGCGTTATTCGCCGAGCGGCCCGATCCTGCTGCTGCACCCCTAAGGGGAGGCTTTATCCGGGGAGGGCGAGGCGGTCCAAGATGGCGGCTTTTCTACCAAAGACTCGGTATCGAGGAAATAAAATCAATTCCAGGGACTCGGTTTACGACGTGGTTCCTCGACAGGGTCGACCCTACTCTTCGGGAACTGCTTCCTTAACTTCCGTTGAAGAGCACCCCGCGAAGAGGTATTTTCCTTCACGTCGTGATTCCTCTTGGTGATATTCTCCTCTATGGAGTGGTATGTTTATTCTGCATCCGGGAGAAATAATTACACCTATGTGCAGGCTGCGAGAGTTATTTCCTCGCGAGGGGGACTTTCAGATTCTTAGCTAGTCTTAGTTTTTTAGACTCCGTACCGAGTAAAGGATGCTGCACTCCGACGTCGCTTTGATTCGGAAAAATGCACTCTTGAGAAATGTGGGGGGGAGGGTGAAAAAAAAGCGAGGTGAAAATGGAGGCTACATTGGTTCGAGGGTGGACCGAAATGGTGGATGTTTCAAGACTTTGGAGGGAAATGTTGGATACTTGGGATTGTTAATTGGGATTGGCTCGGTGGCGTTGTTGAAGACTTCTTCAATGTGTTTACTTACCTTTAAAGTACTAGAGACTGATTTTAGAATTTAATGGGACCAAAGTAGGAAATAAAAGGTTCCTATCTTTATACTTCGATGTTTGTACGTTAAGCAAAATTATTTTTGTCA